GCAAAATGTCCTCTTCCGATCCCGCAAGCACGGAGATCGAATTCCTCGATGACCCAAGGACGGTCACAGATAAGATCATGGAGATACCCATTGAAGAAACCCACGACGGATACAGCACCGAAAACGCCGTCCTAGGCATCCTACGCACGATCCTCATTCCTCTCAGCGAGCTACGACTCGAACGCGCACAAGGACATACGGGTTGGAATTCAGACGAACAGCATGACGAGTTCGCGGTAGATGCATTTGCGAGTTTGGATGCGCCGGAAGGAACATTATTTACGATTGAGATCGCGATTTGGTGTTTTGGAGAGGTGGTGAAGAAGCATTATCAAAGGTATGAGGATATTGAGGAAGATTTTAGGTTGTTGAGGATGGGTGAGGAAGATTTGAAGTTGGCGGTAGCGAGGAGTTTGAATTGTGTGTTGGAGCCGATTAGGAGGAGGCTCGGGGGATGCGAAGAGTGGAAGGAACTAGATAGGTTGGCTTACCCTTAGATCGGATGGTGTTGAGGGACATGTTTCGATTTCGAGTTGTACAAAGGTTAGCACGGTCAATTATGACAATTGACAGGCTCGCTTGTGAAAAGGGGGAGGCCGTGGATTCGTGACCACCCCGCAACAAGTCGCGAGCTTCTGAGAATGTAAGATCTTAATGAGTCCACAGGTAGTTTTCTCGCCCAGACCGTAATGATATCCAAGAACCTCAAGCTCGTATTTTTTTCAATAATTAGTATCATTAGTATTGAACGTGAGGCAAACTTCGATTCCATCATTGAGGACACCGACGCCGGCATCCATGCCCATTTCTCCATTTTTTTTTGAAAAGGACATATCAGCGAATCAAGTGACTGCTGGTACACCATAAGTGCAGTAGAAAATTGCAGCAATCCTAAGTGTCCTATAATTTTGAGAGTTCGGCTTTCCTTGGCCCCACATAGCCAAACAAATATGCAGCAATTTTCCTCATCTGTATTTCTTCGCTGCCTTCGGTAATTCGATATCGTCCTGTAAAATTCAGCAGGGCTCATTCTATGGGGAGTATGAAAACTCACGGTGATGTCTGTATATATGCTCAAAGCTGCGAAAGTGTTAGATAAGGCAGATAAGTATGTGTTATCAACTTACGGTTTATGTCTCGAATAGCCAATTCCCCCTATTTGCTATCAGTGACTTTGCGACGGATAGTAGTTCGTGAACGTACCGTGGACTTGCATTGCTCGATCAGCTGCTTGCGTACACAAACGATTTCCCCAGTACTGCGTTCAGTCAGCGACCATTCCACATCGATTTCCAACATTCTCACATTGCACATGGAGACTTTATCTCCCAAGTCCCTCTCAATCTCTTTTTGGGTCATCTTGTCCATTTCCGAAGCAGTCTTCAAAATCAAGAGCTTTAACATCTCAGCCTGCGTAGCAAGCTCCACAAGCGGAAACTGGACGCCTTGGTTGCTCGCGAGCTCCTTGCCAAATGGCTTCCTCTGTCTCGCATACTTGATACTCTCTTCGATGCAATACATCGCTGCACCAAGAGAGCTCGCAGCTTGCCTTAACCTATTCTCATGCACGAAGGTCTGAGCAATAGGTAGTCCATGCCCAACTTTTCCAAGCACGGCTGAGTCTGGCACCCACACATCCGTGAAGCTCAAAGCTACACCGTCATCAGCACTTCATCCCACTGCACTGGGAAACATCATACACACTCGCATGATCAGTGGGCATATTAAACGTCCACTGATAACTCTCGATCTCAAACCCCTCCGTATCTCTCGGCACAATAAACGCCGTAATCCCCAACGCATCACCCGCCTTACCCTCCGTCCTCGCAAAAACAATACAATGCGTCGCCCTATGCATCCCACTAATCCACATCTTCCCACCATTAACAACCCATCCCTCCTTCCCATCCCTCCTCGCCCTTTCCGCATAAGTACTCATATGCGTAGCATCACTCCCATGCCCCTGCTCCGTCAACCCAAACGCCAACCCCAGCCTCCCCTCCAGCCGTCCCCTAATAAACACCTCTTTCTGCACCTCCGTCCCAAACTCCCTAACCATCAACACATCCGGAAAATTCCCCACAACACTATGCTCATTCTGCAAATCATTAAAAAGACCCAATCCTTTCTTCGCGAGATGGATCCTGATAACCGCCATCCAGAGATTACCGCCATTTTGGCCTCCGTATTCGGTTGGGAGACAGAAACGATAGAAGCCGGCTTGGTCTGCGAGGGTTTTGCATTGGGAGAGGAGGGATTCCCATTCTTCGGTGGGAAGACCATCGTTTTCCCAGTCGGTGCGAGAGTGCTCTCGGCGGTGGTCGAAGAAGCGGTTGTTGTCGTTGCTGTTTTGGAGAGGCGTGATGGTGGTTTCTATGAATTTGTCGAGGGAGTCCAAGTAAGTGACCAGATCGAGAGGGAGCTCAAAGTTCATGGCTCCGTGAGAGGAGTTCGGTGCCATTGTGAGGTATGAAGATTTATGTGCGAGATTGGTGGCTGTGATACGTTTGAAGTCATGCTTGGAGTTATAAAATAGTAGACCTGTGACTAGACGTTATTGGAGGCGAGATGTCAAATAGGAGCAATGGCGGGGTAGCTCATTGCGGGGTGCCGAGCTCCTCGGGAACTTCCCTCCTACCCAGCGATTTATCGAACATAAAGACGCAGAAACCCCTTGCATCTATTATACTAGTTACGATATTAGATGTTCACTATCTGAAGTAGAAGTCGGGAGCTCGATGATATTCATTCGATGCCACGACTAAATCTTCGCTAGTAACCTCGATGGGAATAATGCCACCCCTCCTGCCTTACGCCAATTCATGCATGTCATCTTCTCATTATTTCCTAGTTTGATGAATACCAGATCATTTCTGAGAAACCTCGTCATCAGTTCCCCACCTATGTGCTTCGTCACCCAACTTCCAGTCCTTCTCCACATAGCCTAGCTGCATCTTGACCTTCTCGACTGTGTCTTTGTCACCAGTATTCTTACCGATATTATCACTAATCTTGATAGCTTGGTTGCCAGCAGCCGAGCTTAATTTTATGACGATGTTGAGAGGAGTAGACTTCTTGCCGTTACTCTTATGTACGAAGTCGTTCGTGAAGTATGTCCCAACACCGAAAGTACAACTGAAGCCAGCTTCTTCTGAGATCTTCTTGTATTCGAGACAGAGATCAATGTTGAGAGAATCCGAAAAGACGATGGTCTTTTTCTCCGTGATGCCGACCTTGTCGTAGAATTCTCGCATGATTTTCACGAAATTGGCTGGGTCTCCCGAATCCTGTCGCACACCAGTGAAGACTTCCGCGAACGTTCTCGGCTTTTTCTTAATCTCAACTGTTCCTGTGGACACACCATCCGCCTTACCATCTGTAATCGGTTGAATTGGTTCGCTGAATGCCTTCAAGAAGACTGGAGTCCCGAATGTATCAGTGAGAGCTATGCCTAAAACACCTTCTCCAAAGCAGCCGATCCAGTAGCTGAGTGCAGTCCTCGTTGCAGTCTCGTAGTTGCCGGTAATAGCTGCCACACCCATGAACCACTCGTGCGCAACTGTTCCAATAGGAGGAATGCCGAATCTCATAGCCAAGTGGACGTTGCTTGTTCCAGAAATCTTTCCTGACAAGCCCCTCTTCTCGCCCTCTTTCTTGGCCTTGACAAGACCTCGAAAAACTAGAGCTTGGGTATGGTAATCTCTTCTCCGTCTTGTGCCGAACTCGGAGACAATGCAGCCCCCTTCTAAGAGTCGCATTCCTTTGTCATAAGCCTTCTCTTCCTGCCCATCATAATCCCAATCTTTGTCCATGAACAGAAAGTATGCCTCACTTGTCAGAGCAAGCAGTGGAATCTCGTAGAGAATAGTATCCACCCATTTCCCTTTCACGACAAGGTCAATTTCTCCTAGGTCATCGTCACTTCCTGTATCGTTGATGGCTGCAAACGAGGCTATGACCTGTTCGCGTGGATTGAGTCTGAATTCTTTGAGAAAATCGAGGTAGGGCTTGTTTAGATATGTGCACGTCGTCTGCAAGAAGCGTAATTCGTCATTTGAGAGGGCTATGTTTCCAAGCTCTTTGCAAATTAGTAGTGGTCATCTGCGAGGCTGAGAGATCTCACTATTGATCTGGATCTGTAACCACTGAAATGCAGCTCTAGATAGCTTCTTCTCTGGAGTCCTGTTCTTGAACGCATAACTGACTTGCACATCTGGGAAATACTTCAAGACTGCGCATTGCATAGTCAGTTTGTACAGGTCAGTGTCCAGGAAGGAGATGACTCCCGCAGGGAAGGGGTTGGAGCCGTTGAAGTCCATTATTCCTGAAGTTGAGAAGACTTCAAATGAAAAGTGGGAGAGCTTCTCCTAGATATGGAACTGCGACAAAGACGCGTGTCCAGCTATGCATGAGCAAACCATGAAGAAAACGAGAAGAGGGAGTTGCGGGTCGGTGATTAGATAGCAAGGGACTGCGGCAAGCGAACGCTAGCGCGGGGTATTGCATGATTTGAAGCAGGAACCCTTAACAATAATGTAGGAATGTTGCGAATTGTGAGATTTAGAAGTGAAACCAAGGGATTATTTTGAGATGTTGCTCGCTACCTTGTGTTTGTTCTGGAGACTTAAGGTTATTGGGTTCCAAAGTTACATTGCATTCGGGAACGTTGGACATGACTCGGACGGAGGATCGCTTAAGCAACCCGCGGAAAAAGAAGGGAACCCAAAAAGAAAACAGGTCACTAGTTTTGTAAAGCCTGTAGCACATCGGAAATCTAACACCATCAGTAACCTTTATTAAGAGTCTAATACAAATGCTATTGGAGATAAAAGGCTTGGGAGACAAAGCTAAGTGAAGGCCAAAGTGCAAAACTTACGTAACCTTTATCAAGACATCACCAGCATCTAATACTACCTAGGTAGGTATTTGCAGATGAAAGGGGAGAGAAGATAAAGGTAAAGGCAAAAAAAGACAAAAAAACATGTTTTAATATGAATTACTGACCAACGCCGGGATCGAACCGGCGACCTGCTGCGATATGAGCGTGTTGAAGACGCATGTAAAGCAGACGTGATAACCACTACACCAGTCGGCCTATCATAATGCTGAAATTTTGCTTATTTCAGATCATACGAGAAATATCGGAAAGGGCTACGGACCCGAGTCCAATAGTTCCAATTACAGCATCCCGCTAACTTGTTTAGCGAACGGGGAACTGAATTGGCAAATGTTCTACAAAAACATTTTTTCTCTAAATCTTTAAGCAACCCTCAAACCTCTACCCAGAAGAAGTAACGCATAGCAGTATATATGAAATCCCGTTCTATATAATAGGAAATTACATATCACAGTCTTTGGACGAATCACGTGATCATTATAGTATTGCTTTCAATTCCCTCCTTCAATTGTGCTCCAGCAGCAGTTGTCGTAGTGATGAAGGGGCCTTGAAGACTTTCTCTAGTTATGCCGTCTCTATTTCGCGGTCATATCGGGGAGAAAGATGTTTGCCTCTTGCTTACAGTATTGGCAATACAGTGACGAAACCTCATTCACCTTTCAATCCACTTCCCTCTATCTCAAAATTGACCTCGGCAATTAAGATATTGATTCGATGTATACATTATCTAATATTTCTCGTTTCTATCTCTATTTACAATAGATTTTTCTACTGTTCGATGAAAGTCATTACTGTCTGAACGGGCAATTGTCCTGCTCACAAACTTTTCTTTTATCTGCCTCACTTCCTCAACGGCGCACTCACTCCAGTAAAATTCCCCTTCTGCGTCGTATAATCTCCAGTAATGGCCAAATGCTCAATTCTCCCTAACAAGAACTCTAACTGGCGAAATGCCGCCCCGGGCGTGTACTGTGGGATCTCGTGTCCAGCAAGGTTGACTGTAACAAACGTCAAACCTCTCTCCGTATGCCACGTTCCCTGATACCCTGCTCCAGCCGTATCAGTCACGGGCGTCAAGCCAGACACTGCACTATTGGCAACATTCAAGATATAGCCCAAGGATTCATGGTAAGGGACGAAGAAATTGTTGGAAGATGATGGAGCGGTTTGGAATCCTTGATGACCGTTCCAGGTCATGTTTTGGATAGTGATAAGAGAGCCGTTGGCGAAAAGGAGGAAGTCAAGGAGGCCGTGCCCGATCATCGTGTTATTGGTCCGTTCGATGACGCTCGGAAGTGGGCCTAGGGCTGAAGGAAGGGATTTGTCGCCGTGGGGGAACAAGTTTGGAGGTGACTCGCAGATGAAGTAGTTTGTTGGGGGAGCGTGGATTGCGGCTTGGACGTCGGAGCGGTTGAAGTAGTTGTTTGGTCCGGCACCTAGCGAGGGGAATCCGAGCTCGTCCCAAAGATAGGGGCAATAGTCCGTCAAGTGGTAAATGTTAAAGCAAGGGTTGACATAGTAGACGGCGTTGTATATATCATCGTAAAGATCGCATCCTGGTTTGTTGGAACTCGGGGCAGGTGGGATTGGTCCTGGTGGTGGGAAAGTAGTAGTGTATTTGTTGAAGAAATCCGTAAAACCACATGAAGCTGCACGTGCAGTAATGTCCGCCATGTAGGTTTCATTGAGGCCGATGACATTGTTGTAATATTGAAGTGCAGGTACAACGGGTGCTACGTCCGTTAGTATATGGTACTTGTTCGCTCCGAAACTGCTTACCCTGGAGCATTGTGTCGTCGTGATTAATAGACGGATCGTTGATCTGCACACCCTTTACGTTGAAATATGTGGTGTCATTGGCATCCAGCATCCCGCCAGCAATGTATGGAATGTACTGGCCAGCATAGGATTCACCAGTAACGTAGACTTTGAATCCTTGCATGCTGAAAGTGTCCATGAAGTTCTTCCAGAAGCCCATGAATTGTGTCGCAACATCATGCTCATCGTTGACAGTGATGTTTCCTGTCGAAGATAATCCAGTGCCTACTGGTTGATCGATGTAGACGACATTTGTCAGGTTAGTCCAGCTGTAGGGATTGGATACTGGTGCATAAGTTCCAGACTGCCATAGGAATGGACCTGAAGACCGTGAGTCAATGGATTTCGTTCAAGTGATACTTGGTAAAGCATACCATTTTCCTGGAATAGACCATCCAGCGAACTACAGCCAGGCCCACCATTGAGCCAAATCACGATTTCTTTCGACGCGGCGGGATTGGTCGAAGGGAAGAACCAGAACCACAATGAATTGATATCGTTTGGATTTGAAGAGATTGGTAATGTTCCGGAGTACGATTCGCCGATGTTGAAATCGACATCTGGCAAAGCACTGCCGTTGACTGCAAATTCTGGGAAACAATGAGCGTAGAACCGAGGCATTGGATCATGATGGGCTTACTCGAGGTAGTGTTCGTCAGGAACATGGACGTCAATTCAGCACGAGGTGCTACTGGCCGCGCCGACCTCTTGACATGCTTCACCTTTTCATGGGGACTCTGTAGAGCTTGAGACAAAGAAGCTGCAAAGAGCAGACCCAGACAAGTGAAAGCACGCATCTTCGCAAAATGAGGAACGAAACTGAACGAAGAATCGAGACGGAACGAAATAGAAATATTTCTCAGGTACGACATGGTAGGCATAGCTCTTTTATGTGATACTGCAGCTCTGCCTGCGGGGTTGACCACTTGGCAACCCTGTTTGTGATAGAATCGTCATCAGATAGATTGGATAAAGTAGATCTGGAGCGGATGCGCAGGGACCTACTTTATTGAGGCAAGTGATATATCCATCCTTCCAAGCTAGATGCGGAAGCTCCAAGGTGGCCGACGAGGCGCAGGAAGTGCCGGGGCCTGTGAGCGGGTTGCGGGCAACGGCAGCGAGGTCGACCAGCCGGATTTAGGCAAAGAGGACGGTGAATTGTGGGGAAGTAGGGGCTCTGTCTTATCAACGCCCATGCTAAGCACCTTATTTATGAAATTATGACCGGCATGAGGCTGATCTTGGTGTTGAAAAGGCAGGCGGCGGCCCTTCCATCGTGGGTTCGGCGGGCGGGTAGCTGGAAGGTTAGGTAAAATGGCAGATGAGAGTCACGTGAATCCGTCATTTCCAAAATGAAAATCGAACTTAGAGGAATATCGAGATACTGAAATCATTCTCAAAGTTAGAGAAGCATTATTGCTGACGGTTGCACTATTGGCCAGGGTTGAGGAGGGCAGGATGAGTTTTGCGTCCGGACTAGATTCGCGCACAGACCACCGGGACGACTCCTGTCATTCGTTTCACCTGCCTTTAAAACCATATCAACCTTCAATCATGATTGTCTCTCCTACACCAACGTCCTCGATCTCAAACGAGCAACCATCTTTTACCGGACTATTGTACATGCCTCTCATTGTCTGAATCCATTACAGCCGGGAGTTTTGTTGCTTCGATTGGCCAATAAATCCTCTAGCCAATACTTGTCGAGACCCCAGAGCGACGTGATGTGTGCATCAATAAGCACAGAAACGTGGCAAATCAGCTCGTACATCAAAAGGATGTGTGTGACGAAGTTGACGATATCTCACATGCCGTGCCCTGCATTGCTGCTTCCGCTCGATGTCCATTTATTTCATATCCTTCTACAGAAGGCTTGCAAGACCATGAAATTGGTCATTTGAACACCATTTTTACGAGTGTGGCCTGCTTTTCTGACAGCCTTGTGAGAAACTTCTATGGTCCATGTGGAAATCGAGTGGGATAGCATAAGCAAATCGCGATGCAAAAAGCAATGATCTCAGGCGGCTTTGAAATTCATAGGGAGGGTGAAAGCCGTCTTTCTAGTCCAATCCAAATCAAAATGTGCTTCTCTGCTTGGAACTGGCTCCGATGTATTAATATTTGCAGTATGAAGGATTGATTGGACTTGAGAATGCGAGACTGGGTACATGATTGGAAGAATGGGGGCTCCAACATGACTTTGGACTTTTTAGTCTTCTATATGAAGAAGAAGAATTAGTGGGTGAGATTTCAAGTGAAGGGAATGGCATATAATTGAACACGATCAAAAGTATTATCGATTCTTGGTATGTAACATGCTCAGTCATGTAGCTGCCAATCTATATCTTCAGGGAGGAGCTTCAGGTGCAGTAGATGCAGTAGTTATCCAATACCTGACAATGAGAATGCTGCTCGACCTACGGGTAGGTATGTAAGAGCAGTAAGAATGTTTGTTTGGCTATTGCCTGTTCAGTATTTTCAGTGGGTTTGAGCCAGAAGCAAAAAATCGTACAGTCCCATCGACACGAGTATTGGACGCCTTGGCGTAAGAACAAGAGCAGTGATTCCATAACCACCCTTGATGCTTTTCGTGATCTCTAAGGTCAGCAACAACCTATTCCAGAGCAGATGACTGTGCGGCAGCCAATCGAGATGTTGAACCTCTAGAGATTGAAGTTTGAATAAGAATTTCGGATTTCCGTACGATAGTCAGCAGCCATCTGTACATTTTAGGTTTAGCTTAGCCGCACCTCAACTAGTCGGCCGACAGAGCTAGCTCCCCGATTGGCCTGTAACTGGGGAACTTTGAATCTTCAATCGATTGCCTTGCCGCTTATATATCGTTGGAATCTTCATTTGTTGGTATAACGTCCAGCTTGCAATACGAGATGTGAAAACAATCTCACCACATGCGCCTCAAAGGCGGGATATACCACAGTTACCCGCCGCCACCATTTCGAAATCGAGATATATAAGAAATGAACAGTATCGCTCCTTGCGTAGATCTCCATCGATCGACTTTGAAACACTCTTGAACTCTGCAAAGAATTATGGATCTCTCTCAACTGCCTGACGACTTCTTCATCACCTCTTCGCAATTCACAAAGACAACCTATCGCGATGTATATCCTGGAGTTGACCCAACCTCTGCAGCACTTTCTCAGAAAGGCAAAGTTGTTGTCATTACCGGCAGCAGTCAAGGCCTAGGTCGACACGTATATTACCCAAACATATCCTTGGCATGATCATCGTTGACGGTTCTTAGGCTTTTGCCGAGTCATTTGCGAAGGCTGATGCCAAGGCGCTCGTCCTCGTAGCTAGGAATGCAAGCGGACTGGAAGCTACAGCTCAAGAGGTAAAGAAAGTCAACCCGAAGATAC